CTTGATATAACACCCAAATGAAATATCAAGGCTAGGACCCAACACAATATTCTACAAATTGGAAGAGGGATGCCGTAATCCAATTCGCAAAATATTTGAAGGTAGGTAAATGACGATTTACCAATTTCCACCATGAAAAACGAAAATTGAAAATTAAGTTTTAAATGAATTGAAACTCCTAGATCTTTTTGAGATTCATTGAACTTTTCAATGACATGTTTAAATCTCGAGTGTGCCCTTCGTTTGTGACTGGGATGCTGAGGATCACAAACAAGTTGTGGATAACCATGCAAATATACATGGTGCCCCCAATGTTACAGTCACCTAATCGACGTGCCGGTTAACCATACACGCTTCATCGATCTATGACAAACATCGAGTCACCCTTTGCCACCTTTGCTTAGAGCCCAATTAGTGTGTCAGTTAACCACACATGCTCCACTAACGTCTTAGCAAGGGTACAAAGTGTAATTTCATGGAATAGCACCAACTCCACATTTTTCCTAAAGTAACTAAGATTTGGGAATTTATAAAACATTTAGTTTACTTCTTCGTATTTCATTATACTTATAATGGAAGTTGTGTCCTATCCTACCGTTCGGCTAACGACCCTCCACTAGTCAAGAGTGTGGTGGGTAAGAGTGGATACCCAATGGCGGTCATTTTACAGGCCGCTTCCTTAAACACCCCTTATAGACCAGCTTCATGAATGAGGCCTACTAAGGGTAAGACTGACATTTTACTTATATATATAATATTAGACCTTTAATTTTATATATAGTATAAGGGTGTATTTTACACTTTTAAAATACCAGGTGGTTTAATTTAATAAATTATACTTTTTCAATTTAATTAAATATAAACCATATCATTATGGATTTATTAACTCTCTTTTAATTATACACTTAATTAATTTAATAAAACCATAAGGGTGTAATTTGAACTTTTCAAAAAACTAGGGTCTTAGAATTTAATATTTCAAAATTAATACCTTTTAATTTAAATTTTAAATTCCAAAACCTTGAGGACAAATTTTGAAACCTTTCAAATATTAGGGTTTAACTATTTAAATTTCAAAAACTAAAACTTTTAAGTTCAAATTTAAACTATAAAACCTAAAGGGTGTAATTTGAAACTTTTCAAACTTAGTAGGTCAAATATTTGACTCATAATAATCCTATATCATCCATATTTAACCAAATCCATTAATTTTGATAAGGATAATCATTCCAAACATAAAAAAATCGATTTTAGGCAATAAAAACAAGTTTTGGCAATTATCCTCAACAAAATCTGCTCAAAAAATCAAAAATTTCGGCAACAGCACACTGGACTCGCCGAGTCCACTGATGGACTCGCTGAGTTCAGGCTACTCGCTGAGTCCACTGATAGACTCGCCGAGTTCAGGCTAATCGCATAGTCCACTGACAGACTCGCCGAGTCGGCGTCGTAGACAGCAAAAAAAATTCGATTTTTTGATCCTTTGGCAGTTCACTTTTGCATCTATTCACTAGAAAAACGACCTAGGCTTTGATACCACTGATGGATTATGAGCATAACATCATTCCTATGGTGTTCATGCAACCTTAATTGCTTTGATCTAGGTTTTTCTAAGTAAACATACAACAATGAATACCAAAGCAATAAACCCTAATTGTCTACCATACAATAATCAATATTATCATAATAAAGGGTTTAGATCTTACCTTTGATTGTTATGTAGCAATAACAATCTATTCCTTCTTGTAATTGGCTTCTGAAAGCTTAGTGCCTCAAATGTTGCACCTCTAATGGAGTCACAAACACCATGAGCAACAAGATGAACAAGGACAGAGGGAGGAGGCACCAAAAATGTCCTAGAGTTTCTCTTAGAAGGTTAGACACGTTTTTGGGAGCCTTAGGGGTCCTTATATAGTTGTGAGGGCTGCTAGGGTTTCAGATGAAACCCTAATTCTCTGCTTAGGCCTTAAGCAACCCATGAAGTCCCTCTAGAAAGCCCTTGGACGAAAATCATATGGGCTTCCCATAGATTTCGTCCAATGCCCTTTCCATTAGGAATCCATAGCCCAATTTGCAACTATCATATAATTGCAACATCAGTCCCCTCTATTTAATTAATCTCTTTTAGCCACAAAATTAATTCTTAATTAATTCTTGACTAATATTAATTAAACAATATGATTTCTCTTTTACTATATTATTCTTATAATATATTAATAAGTCATAATTAATCCTCTTCCTCCTTAATTCATCCTATCAGTTGCTATGGTGAAGGCAACCCAAAAGGACCATGCTCAGAATCGGGTCAAGTACATACCAAAATAGTTACGGGCTTAGACACCTAATCCAACAGATCATATGTTGGAAATAAGTACGAAAAAATACTGTCATGAATTGGCTTGTAGATTGTCTAAGCGTTTAGACATAGAAAATGTTTGCTGCAACGTTCATGAGTGCTTATGAAATATGATCTGAGTATTGGATTAAACCCGCACTCACATGAATCACTTCATGGAATTAATCACGGGTGATTGTGATATGATAATATCATATAAGTCTTTAAACCTAGATATACGAGTTGTTGTTTACAAGTCGGTTGTGCATTGATAATGCGTAAACGCATCAGTAACTTGATGTTATAAAACGCATTGTTGTGTACGATTTGATGAGTAAATAGTGCAAGCATATAAGTCGAAGTTTATATGTTCATTTTATCCTACAAGTCTAAAAGCGATATCTAGGCCCCTCGATGATTTTGTTCTGACTTATATGTCGGGTCCGGTCAGGACTAAATTGATGTGTTCAATTATGTTCTATGTCAGACAAATCAGAGATCGAGAAACAAACTGCTGGACAATAAGTATGACTATGTTCCATGTGATTGTCCGCACAATATCTTGAGAACGGAGGACTATACGATCCCTTATCTAAAGGACGTGTCAGAGTTTTACAGCAGCTTTTGAGAGCTACGATTGCTAATAAGATTTTGAAGTCGTACTTGCATTTATAGTTATTAGACTTATCCAAGTGGGAGACTGTTGGATTATGTGTCTAAGCCCATAACTATATTTGGTATGTACTTGACCCGGTTGTAGCATGGTCCTTTTGGGTTGCCTTCACCAGAGCATCTTGACTGGATGAATAATGGAGAAAGAGGTTATTATGGTTTATTAATATATTATATGAATAATATATTAAAAGAGAAATCATATTTGTTTAATTAATATTGGTCATGAATTAATTTAGAATTAATTTTGTGGTCAAAAGATATTAATTAAACTTGGGGGACTGATCTTGTAATTATAAGATAATTGCATTTTTGGGCTAAGGAACCCTTGGAAAGGTGTTGGACAAAATCTTATGGGAGCCCATAAGGATTTCGTCCATAGGGTTTGATTCTGGAAGATTCTTGTGGGCTGCTTAGAGCCTAAGCAACCGAATGAGGTCTTTCACTGAAACCCTAATTCCTTAGCTATATAAGGAACCCCCTGGCTCCCTAATTCGGCTACCACTTGAACCCTAAGAAGATCAAGAGTCAATTTTTGCCTTCCCCTCTCTCTCCAAGATCATCCAATTGTTTTGGTGTTTGTGATTCATTAGAGGCATCACATTTGAGGTGCTAGGTTTCTCATAAGCTCAAGATCTTGTAGCTACAATCAAAGGCAACTTTCTAACTTGTTTATTAGATGTTAATTTCCATTTTATAGTATGCTAGATTAGGGTTTGCAAGTCTTGGACTATTGTTGCATGTACAAATAGAAAAACTAGATCCAAACATTAGGGTTTGCATGAACACCATATGAATGTTGTTTTACTCATAACCCAACAGTATTACCGGAGGGTTTTGTGTCAAATCAAACTCGTGAAAGAGCTTCAACTTGGAAGAAATCCAGTTCGTCACCAGGTACTTTTCTAATGAGAATTTGCTGGGGAGGAGCAAATTTTCTTCAGTTTACAAACGGGTTTTGAGGGACAGATTGGCTGTGGTAGTGAAGTGTGTGATTGTGACGAGTTGTAAAGCTGATGAAATCGAGTTTACAAAAGGGTTGAGGTTGTGAACCTCTTTGAAACATGAATCTTGCTAGGCTTCGAGGGTTTTGTTGTTCAAAAGGTAAAGGTATATGCTTTTTAGTGTATGATTTCACATTAAAAGGGAAGTGTTGAAGGAAGATCTAGGTTTACGATGGTGGAACTATTTTATGATGGTGGTTCCGATAGTGGTGCTGATTTTGAATGATCGATGATGGTTAAGGTCGTTTTTTATTTTCGTAATAAGTATGGTCAGACCTTTTTGACTGGATAGATATTAGGTTTAAAGTTTTAAAAATGTTAGGTGGACCTAAAATTTTAATTAAAATATTTTTTTAATAATTAAAAATAATAAAAAATGTCAAAAAAAAATGCAAAGAGCATTATAGTCATTTCAAATCTCACAAAGAATGAAGCGTGCAAATTTAAACTAACGATGAATAAAACATACACATTTTTACGATATGAGACTGAATATTTTTTTTGAACCGACAATATAGAAATATATAATTTATTCCTAAAGTAACACCTAATTCCGTCTATTTCCATGATGGAATTTGAACCCTCAACTTTAAAGAGGAATGACACCACCTGATACATCCTGCTGGGTTACAAGGCCCTTTGGTGGACAACCTGAATTAGTTTTTAAAAATATGGATTGAACGTGTTTTTTTGACATGTATGCGAGGACGATTCGTGTATTTTACTCATTATTATAATATAATATAATTGGTGATATAAGAATATGAGCTTGTTTCATAAATAGATGTTCTCAATATGTTAGTATTCCTTAAATTTGTATGGCATTATTTTCTCATTTTTTATATGGCAAAAGTAATATTTTCATTTATAAACAAAACCATTGAGTTAACGTATAATTACCTAAATAGTGACATTTTATTGTAAGTCAAAGATTGATAAATAGCAGTCAATAAGCTAAAAAAGATAGATTATATGAACCAAAATCAACTTCAATAATTGTAGAGAACTTTGTCTGGTAACCTCTGAGAAGGGATTGCCATTAACGGTTTTCTCTTCTTCAAGACAATCCCAAATTTATCAGACAGCTCATGTTCTTTGTCTTTTGGTAAAGTCCAGTCAAATGAGTGCAATAATGAAGCCAAAAGATACACCAACATCTTCTCACCCAAAGGAACTCCTGGACACCTTCTTCTACCAGATCCAAATGCCAGAAAGTTGGTGTTGTTTCCAGAATAATCGTATTTGGTTGTTCCATCGGGGTTTAGAAATCTATTGGGATCAAATTCCGTAGGGTTTTCCCAGTATTTTGGATCCCTGTGTATTGCCCAGACATTCAAAAACACATTGGCACCCTTTGGAACTGTGTATCCACCTACATTGCAAGACATATTTGGACATCGCCCTATCAACAGAGGAAGTGGAGGGTGTAAACGGAATGTTTCCTTAATAGCTGCATCTAAGTAATGTAATTTGGAAAGATGAGATTCTTCTACAATGTTGTTTAGGCCGATGACTTGCTCTAATTCGTCTTGTATCGTCTTCAATACCTCCGGATTTTTCAAAGCTCCGCCATTGTCCATTCCGCCATGGTTGATGTTGTGTCTGTTCCTCCAGCAACAATGTCCTGTTTCAACAAAACTTAGTAATTTATGTGTTGAAGGTAAGGATTATGTGTTGAACAAAACAACGCTTGCTAGATACCATGAAAAGGGCTTTAATTTGATTAATACTGAAAGTTGATGTATTGTCTTTTTGTTTATGCTCTAGTAAAATCTGCAATAAATCCTTTCTTCCCTGTTGTTCTACTGATTCTTCAGGTTTAACACTCATTCTATCCTCAATAATCGTCTGAAAAATCTCATCAACCTTGTGCAATTGTTGCTTCATTGTTCGTTCCACACCCTGTAAATCGAATCTCGAGAGTACCGGAAAAAAGTCCGACACGTTCGCTGCTCCGATAAGCTCCACAATCTTAGTAATAACTTCCCGGAACCCAACCCCAAGATTACTGCTTTCTTCGTTTTCATCCAAACTTTTCCCCCAGATCATGCTGGTTACGACACTAAGTGATGACGTGAACGCGATCCCGCCGACGTCGACCTCATTCCCCATCGCTTCGTACACGTGCTTGATAATTTTTCTGACTCCAGTCGCCGGAAAGAGCGAGAAGCTTCAAGGTTCTTGTGGCTCAGGACTTCGGAGACGAACACTTTACGCAGGTTACGCCAGTATGAGTTGTTATCGGACCAGACGATATCTATGCCACCGTATGTGACGACAACCCCTGCCACCGGAGGGTCTCGGTTAGCAAAAGCATCGTCCTGCACACGCACCACTTCTTTAGCAAGATCCGACGAGCTGACGATGATGTAGGTCTTACTTCCGAGCTGGAGTTTAAAGATGGGGCCATAACGTTGACCCAATTTGGTGAATTCATGGTGCAAGTCGGGGCTGAGAAATGGAAGGTATACCAGCACCGGCAAGCCACGAGGTCCCGGCGGCAACCGGAATGTGGCCTTCCTGAATATGTACCAAAAAACAGACAAGGAGATGACTGAAAAGATAAGTAATTGGAAAGTGAGGTCGTCTTTCTTGCTGGTTATTAGTTCCGACCACCATGACCACCGGCTAGCTGATATCATTTTGTGTAGATTGATGTGATGAAATACAAAGACAGAGATATATATATAAACAAATAAAATATGGTTGTATTTCAGAAAATTAAGACATACAGAATTAAATTTTGTGGTTGGTACATTCTACACACATGATTGTGGCCTGTGGGGGTTCCCCTTTCCCATGGGCATTCAAAAATCAAAATTTGTTTATATCATTTGTTTTTATACTTTGGGATGTATAGTAATATTATTACCTTCAAAATTTATAGATATTATGTTTAAAAAAGTTAATTTCGTTATCAAAGAAAAGTTTGCAACACAACTTATTGCATACTATTTGTTTGCGACCTTGATGTAAAATTTTTATACTAAATATCTAATTTTAAAAACCATCTTGTAGAAAATAAATAATGTTTGTTAGTAGAAAATATTGTATGAATAATTGTTATATAAATGATTATTTTAATTTTTTGTTCAACTGGATTCATTTAACAATTGTCATGAGTATAATTCAGATTGGAAAACTTACAAAAATACGAGATACTTCAATAAATATTTTTTTGATGTAAATAAAAATATAGATTCGATGATATTAAACACAATAAGTTGATCATAATATTTAATAACTATTAAATTACTTAAATAGAAATATTAAATATAAAGCATTTGTAAGTTGATAGTCAATTAGCAATTTTATCACATTTACAAGCCATAAATTTTCTCATGAAGCGATTATGGTTCGACGAACGGCAACAAAAACCGTTTTACCAAATGGCTAGAGGTATCAGATTGTCCTTCCTTCTTGAGATCGAGAGTTCAAGACCTGTTGGGGAGATGTGTGGATTTAGGAGTAATATAGAATTATGTTAGATTTGTCGTTAACAAAAAACAAAAAATAAAAACCGTTTGAAATCTCTCAACATCACATGCCTAATTCTACATGCTTACTCTAGATGTTTGCTTCAAAAGACATTGCTATTTAAGGCATTACTATTTATACAAAATGCTTGAAACTTCCACCATAGCATAATGTTTATATGTCTGCTTTGAAGGCATTACTATTTATACAAAATGCTCGAAACTTCCACCATAACATAATGTTTATATGATGTTGACGAAAGTTACACCACAACATAACATTAAGAGAAAACTTCATAAATGGTCCATGTGGTATCCCGAAATCTGAAGTTTTGTCCTTAAGTTCAAAAAACCTTATAGATGGTCCTATGGTTTCAAAACTTTTAAAAACAATCTCTTGCCCACATAAAAAGACTTATATGCACTTTCTATTGGAGAATTGAGTAATCTAACCCTTATAAACGACAATTTAAAAAAAAACCAACATTATTTTTTTGGTAAAATGACAACTTGCTCCGGAAGATAGCATTACAGAGCAATGGTCTCCATTCCGGAATACCTATTCCGGAGTTCCTAATCCAAATTATAACCTCAATCTATTTTTTTCGTCTCCTATATATATATATATATATATATATATATATATATATATATATATATGTGTGTGTGTGTGTGTGTGTGTGTGTGTGTGTGTGTGTGTGTGTGTGTGTGCGCGCGCGCGCTTAGAACCTTACCTTCAACCATGTAATTCATAATTATCTCTTATAAAACTGCTTCAAAATGAGTTTTCCAGAGAGTCGGCACGAAGAAAGCTTTAACAACCTGCCTGTTTACCTTCACAACCTTAGGCGAACTAACCCGCATACTTACACTCACATCAAAACTGATTTGATGGTTTGTTTCGAAGCTTGTTTTGTGGCTATTGGATGGGTGGTATATTTGTTTTTTGCACTTTTCTATTGCTTCTTTAAAATATATAATGTTTCTACATCTAAATTAATTTGTTTTTGTTCCCAAAAAAAAAAATACAGGTCCATGCATTCATAGGCTGCTTCTTGCCTGTCATCTTTATAGGTAGTGTCCCCCTTGGGAGTACCTAAAAACAATGTTTGTAGCGGTTGCTATCGACCCGAACAACCAGACCCTCCCTATAGCATTTGGTATGGTCGTGGAAAATAATCGCTACTATTGTACCTGGTACCTTATGAGGTTAAGAGAAGCTCTGAGACAGGGTAGGGAAGTATCGTTCATAACAAATGTGGACAATGTCTTTAGTTCTTGCAATGAGCATGTATTCCCTGATTCTTATCATGTCTATACTTCTAAAAGTGTGTTCAAGTATATGCGCACAAAAGGCGTTTCTGGCTATACATTACAACCTTTGTTCTGGATGACATCCAACTCATATAATGTGTCTGATTTTGAAGAAAACTTTCGTCGGCTGACCCCTGATGCTCGTGAAATGCTTGCCAACATCGGTCATGCGAAATGGGCAAGATCCTATTTCCCAAAAATCCGTTGGAATGTAGTCAACATTGATGTTCCCCAATTTTTTTTGTGTTATCGATAAATCAACGCAATATACCGATAATAATGCTTACCGAGACAATTCGTGACTACATTCAACGGACTTTCGATAAACACAGATTAATGGCAGGTAAAATACCGGGTGAAATATTAAATTTATTTAAATACTTGTACAAGAACCTTATTTGATCATATTTACTTTTCAGCGAGTTTAACTACCGTACTCACCCCGTATGTTGAAATGGTGTTTCATAAAAGGATGCAAAAGTCTGTTCGGTGGCAAGCAACAAAGATCCCGCCAGAGATCCCGTCTGTGCTCCTATCCGACATTTGTCGAGTTTTTGATTTTAAAAAAATTTGTGTTGTTGATCTGAACTGTCATACATGTTCATGCGGGAAATAGCGCAGTTTGGGTATAGCTTGCGGTCATGCTATTGCGGCATCATGTCATTCGAACATCCATGAATTACCTGATATGGTTCAGATATATTATTGGGCTGATGTGTTTCAGGCTGCCTACCAGACACAAACCGTGCACCCTCTTCCCCCTCCATCAGAATGGTAAATACCAGACCATTTGATTGCAGTTTATTGCCAATGTAATTGCAATTAATTATGTTTGTAATTGATTTGCAGCGTGTAATGAAAAATATTATTATTGCTCTAATATTTGTTACATATTACAAAGATAGAAAAAACATAATTTACAAGTACCATAGTAATACTAACAAACAAGCAAACATTACATATTAAAAAGATTAATAAGCGTTACAGAAGGGAAACTTAGTTGATGAACATAAGACTTACAACTTGTACAAAATGATTCCAAAAATGAAAATCCAACTACAAATTAACGCTATCTTCAAATTCATATTTTGGTTTTCAATTTTATTCTTCGATCGAAATAAGTTATTGATTATCAATGAATTATTGTCTTTTGCTTTGTTAACCTAACAGATAAACCCATACTATGGTCCCTGAAAATTTAAGATCAAACACATGACGTATATTGTGTAAATTAATATTAATTCAAAGAAGTAAGTATAAAAGGATAACCCATATACCTCTTTAGGACAAGCATAAAAAAACTATCAAGGGGTATTATGTAGTCATTGATGTCCTTATAATACCTTCAGAGCCACAATCACAGTATGCCATTTCTTTGGATTATGAGAAATGAACTTTTAGTAGTAAATTTAAAAAGGTAAAGAGTTTTGATGCTTGAATTCCTTTATATAATGGCATTTACTAGGGTTATGGTTCCTGACACTATTCCAGAAAAACATTTCGGAGCCACATTCCGGAATTGATATTTCGGACCCTAATTTCGGAACAATAATTGTCCTAGATTCCTGACATATGTGTAGTCATTCCGAAAAGTAAAAGTCATAGATTCCTGACATATGTATAGTTATTCCGAACAATAAATGTCATAGATTCCTGACAGTATTTCGAAGCAGCTATTTCAGACCATTGTTTCGGAGCCACGTTCCGGACCAGATATTTCGGAGCCACGTTCCGAACCAGCTATTTCGGACCATTGTTCCAGACATTGGTTTTGTACGTAATTATCATAGATTCCTGACATATGTGTAGTCATTTCCCAATAGTAAAAGTCATAGATTCCTGACACTATGTGTAGTCATTCCGAACAGTAAATGTCATAGATGCCTGACTGTATTACAGACCCTTATTCTGGAACCCCATTCCGGAGCCACTTTCCAGAATGGCTATTTCAGACACTTGTTTCGGACATTGCTTTTCGACCTTAAAATGCACCTAGCATGAATCCTCAATGTTGAAATAAATTAAATTGGAACGAGTTCATCTCATGATGGCGTTTGTCATTGTCAAGAAGATGATTGTTATGTTTGTTCAGATAATAACCCGTTTTCGGAAGGCCCAGATTTCCCACTCCCGGATAAAATGCCTGATGACGTTTTCCAAGCTATGAAGGCTGCTGAAGAAGCAAACGAAAGGAACTCTGAAAGAAGTCGCACACTAAATCAACGTGCAGACGATCTAGTGGAACAAGTAAATGAAAAAGAAAAATGGGTTGCTGAAGGGATGAAAGAAGTGAAACAAGATAAGAAGTGGATTGAAAATGCAAATAAGGAGATCAATAAGTTGCGTGCAGAATGAGACCGTCTAACAGATGTTGTTTGAATTAGAGGAGATTTTATTGACCGGGAATAAAATATGTATCCCTTACAATTTCCTAATTTGTGGAAACCAATCTAAGTATGTATTAGGTTTTGTAACGCTCTTTGCAATAATGTTAATGTAAAAGAGTAATTGTCATTTTAGATAATCATACCGTTCCTTTTACAAAATTCAGTTTGAAAAGACATTACAATATCCATATTTAAAATTAGATTAAATTTCTGACCGATAACCGGGAACTTGTATCTGATGCAAATAGCCGTGTCTACATGATTTTCAAACAATTCCTTGTAGGTCTCAATTAGTTCGAAACCATTATCAGTCAATTCGACTTGATCTTCTATTGTTGGAGTTGTCTTATGTGTTTCTGTGATGATGTCCATTGTGTTCACAAATTGTCGTATATCTTCAGACATGGTAACGAAGAGCATGTGCATGTTATACAATGCTACTTTTCTATGGTCCTCAGCCGATGAAGGCAGTAATGTGATTTCCAGTATTACCATTTGTTGTTTAGCATGTTGATAATCACAAATCATTTCTAATGCAGTCGTATCAACTAGACGTTGTTGCTCATATTCAAGACATGGTATAACATACTCTATAGGCAACTGATCCTCATTGTTCGAGTCACTGGATGTTGG